ACAACAGTAAAATCTCCTCTCTCTTCAATAAATCGCTACAGGAACTCAAGAATTTCTCTTTAAAAATTCTCTGCTGAAGAGCTCTCCTTAATAGCCGCCGCCTCTGGAGTTTAATGATCTGAAGAAAAATCGGGGGCTAACTGCTCTCGTGCTCAGGTTCCCTTAAATAGGGAAACCCTAGCCAAAACAGCTGGGTCCAGCTGTTCTCAACAAAACACAGGCGAAAGGGGGAAATCAGAACCCGCCTGCCTTCGAGCTCAAAAATCGCCTGCAACCAACTCGCCTGCAAGGCTATGAGGTCGCCTGTCGAGAGCACCGCTCGAGCTCGCTCGTAGAAGCCCCAAAATCGCCTGCAGCCCTTCGCGATCTCAAATTCGCTTGCTCGACTTCAGAACTCGCCTGTAGCGCCTACCTCGAACTCGCCATCAGCCCGTCGAATTCCGCTTGCAAGATCCCAAGTCCAAAACTCGCCTTCGCTCGACGTTGCTCCGCTCGAGCTCGCCAGTTCAAGATCCGCGACCTTGCCTTCTCCAACTCAACTTCGCCGGAGCTCGCCTCGTTCGCCGCTGACAAGGTAAGGGTCTACACCCATTACCAACAACCTCCCACTTGGAGACCATACCGTCATCAGCAAGCTCTCTCTTAACAAGCATCTTCTTCTGTGTGGCTCCGCCCTCATCTCTTACATATGAAGGCCAACTGAAGTTGCGCACAACTCCAGTTTCTGAATGGTGACTGCTTTAGTCAACATATCTGCAGGATTTTGGCTCCCCAAAATCTTCTCCAACTGTAACTTTCCGTCCTCAATCATCGAGCGTATGAAGTGGTAACGTAACTCGATGTGCTTCGTTCTGGCATGAAACATTGGGTTCTTGGCAAGGTGTATAGCACTCTGGCTATTACAATAAAGAACTTCGTTCCCCCGCTTCAGACCTAATTCATCCAGGCACCCTGTTAACCAAATCATCTCCTTGCTCGCCTCTGTCACTGCGACATACTCTGCCTCAGTTGTGGACAACGTCACAATCTTCTGCAAACGTGAGACCCAGCTCACTGTTGTCGACCCTAAGGTATAAACATACCCCGTGGTGCTTCGCCTCGTATCATGATCACCGGTAAAATCTGCATCCACGTATCCCTGCAGTACCAATTCTTTTCTCCTGAAACACAGTAGAATATTCGTAGTCCCTCTCAGATGTTGTAATATCCACTTCACAGCCTCCCAATGCTGTTTCCTTGGGTTGCTTGCAAACCTGCTCACAACTTCTACTGCATGGGCAATGTCCGGCCTCGTGCAAACCATTGCGTACATCAGACTACCAATGGCTGATGAATACGGCACCTTCCTCATGTGCTCCCTCTCTGCATCGGTCTTGGGTAATTGTTCACCAGACAACTTGAACTGGCTTCCAAGGGGCGTGCTAACGACCTTAGCATTCTGCATGTTGAATCTCTGAAGTACTTTCTCAATGTATTCTGACTGACTCAACTTCAACGTCCCCTTAGCCGTATCTCGGTTGATCCGCATCCCAAGAATCTGCTTCGCTGCACGCAGATCCTTCATGGCAAACTCCTTTGCTAACTGCTTCTTCAGTTTGTTTATCTCCTGTAAACACGATCCTGCAACTAACATGTCATCAATATACAGCAATAACACGATATAGCTGGACTCGAACCTCTTGAAGTAACAGCAATGATCTGAATTGTATCTGTCATAGCCATTGCTCTGCATGAAGTTATCAAACTTCTTATACCACTGTCGTGGAGCCTGTTTTAATCCGTATAAGCTCTTCTTGAGCCTACACACCATCTCTTCCTTTCCTTCCTCAATGAAGCCAACAGGTTGCTTCATATAGATTTCTTCATCTAAGTCGCCATGAAGAAAGACAGTCTTCACATCTAACTGCTCAAGATAGAGATTTTCAGCAGCTACCAAGCTCAACACCACTCTGATGGTTGTGAGCTTCACAACGGGGGAAAATATCTCCGTATAATCCACTCCTTCCCGCTGTTGGAACCCCTTCACGACTAATCTGGCCTTGTATTTCTTCCTTCCATCACTCTCCTGCTTGACTCGGTAAACCCACTTGTTATGTAAGGCATTCTTCTGTGCAGGTAGCCGGGCTAACTCTCATGTCTCATTCGAGTAGAGAGAATCCATCTCTTCTTGCATTGCATGCTCCCACTGTTGAGATTCGATCACTTGCATAGCCTCCTCATAGCATTCTGGTTCTCCGCTATCTGTCAAAAGTAGGTAGTCTAGTGACGAGAGATACCTGGGATTCGGTTTGGGTACCCTGGATGACCTCCTAAGCTCCTCGCCCTGGATAGTCGGTTCTGCGACTGGAGTCTCCTCCGTTCTTTGGTCAGAATCGACGTTGTCTCCCCCATCTGGAAGTTCCTCCAAGTCCATGTACTCGGATGCGTCTGCATCCGTAGTGTTGCTCCCACTGCTTTGGCCCGCCTTGGCTTTGTCCCTGTCCTTGTACATCACTTCCTCATTGAATATAACGTCTCGGCTCCTGATGATTTTCCTGTTCTTCTCATCCCACAGACGATACCCGAACTCATCAATACCGTATCCAATGAATGTACACTTCAATGACTTAGCTTCTAGCTTGTCCCTGACGTGGTCACTGATGTGGACATATGCCACGCACCCAAAAATTCTCAAGTGTGAGAGATTAACCTTCTTACCACTCCAAACCTCTTCCGGAATCCAAAAGTTCAATGGAACTGACGACCCGTGATTTATCAAGTACGCTGCTGTATGCACCGCATCCGCCCAAAAAGTTTTAGGTAGACCTGCATATAGACGCATGCTCCTCGCACGCTCTGTCAGCGTTCTGTTCATTCTTTCTGCTACGCCATTCTGTTGCGGCGTCCCTGGAGTAGTCCTCTCCAAACGAATCCCGTTCAGAGCACAGAACTTCTTGAACTCCTTCAAATTATATTCTCCACCATTGTCTGATCTCAGACACTTCACTTTCAGGTCTGTCTCGTTCTCCACCATGGCTTTCCACTTCTTAAAGATGCTGAACACCTCCGACTTGTGCTTCATGAAGTATACCCATACCTTTCTCGAGTGATCGTCGATAAATGTGACGTAGTACGTCGAACCGCCAAGAGAAGACACGCTAGCTGGACCCCATACGTCTGTATGAACAAGCTCTAGCTTGTGAGCTTTAGGTGGTCTTCCACCCTTCAGAAAACTAACTCTCTTCTGCTTTTCGAAGATGCAGTCTTCACAAACACCGACTTCCACCGAATCGATACCGGTTAGCTTCCCTTCTAAGTGTAGAATCTTCATACCCTTCTCACTCATGTGTCCCAACCTATTGTGCCACAGATCTGCACTTTCCTTGCCTGCAGCAATCGCGAGGGTGTCGCTCGCGTGTGAAGTTAGGTAGAGGGTACTGGTCTTGTTGCCACGGGCAACCACCATTGTACCGTTGGAGATTTTCCACAAATCTCCAGTGAATGTTGTAACATAGCCTTCTGCTCCGAGCTGGCCAACCGAAATAAGATTCCTCTTCAATTTCGGTATGTGTCTGACATTCTTCAGAGACCACTTAGAGCCCTTCAACTGTATTTGCACATCGCCTCTTCCAATGACACTACAGGGTTCATTATCCCCCAAGTATACTTTCCAAAGTCCCCTGCTATATAGTTTTGAAATAGCTTTCTATTAGCAGTGGCGTGGAATGAAGCTCCCGAATCAATGACCCATGAATCGGAGTCGCTATCCATAGCGAGAATCAGCGCATCTTGCACAATATGAGCCTCCTGCTCATTTTTCTTCGGTGCTTTACAGGTAGAAGACATGTGGCCCTCCTGGCCGCAGTTCCAACATTTTCCCTTGATAGGTCTCACCTTCGAGTTTGACCTCTTCTTCTTCGACTTCGATCGATTCCTGTTTTGGTTCCCCCTATTATGGCTTCTGGGCTGAACCTGAACCTTCTGATTCATTCGATTTTCTTCTAACCTCCTCGGATAGAATCATAGCTACCACCTCATTCAGCTTCAACTTCTCTTTTCCTGCCGAGTTGCTGATTGCGGTCACGCAACCTGCCCAACTATCCGGCAACTGCGATAGTATCAAAAGGGCCTGCACTTCGTCATCAAACTTGATGTCGACTGAGATAAGTTGATCAACAATCGTGTTGAACTCGTTGAGATGCATCGTGAAGGAACATCCTTCTGCCATCTTGAGGTTGAATAGCGTCTTGACGAGATGCACCTTATTTGCAGCTGACGGTTGCTCGTATATCGTTGCGAGCGCTTCCATAAGCCCCACCGTCGTCTTTTCCTTTAATATATTGTGTGCTACAGATTTTGCGAGGGCCAATCGGACCTGCCCCAGGGCTTTTCAATCCAATTTCTCCAGTCCTCGTCGGATTCTTCTTTCTTCTTGCCTTTTGCTTTACCCATCAACGGACGGTAAAGATCCTTCTGGTACAGATAGTCCTCCATCTGTGACTTCCAGTAGGCGAAGTCTGATCCGTCAAACCTCTCAATTTTTTATTTTTCTTCTTCTGTCATTTCTTACACACACAGATCTGAACCTGGCTCTGATACCAGTTATTGGGATAATAATATCAGATACGCTCTGACACCCGTTCTGCGGAATTTGCCCTACCGGATCTTGTGTTAAGCAATGAAAAAAAGAAATCACTACAAATCAAACAATAATTGCAAGAATAAAGAACACCGAGTTTTAACGAGGTTCGGCAAGTTGCCTACGTCCTCGGGAACCACACAAATAATTTCCTTTATATCAAAGAAGATTACAAAGCTTGTAAAGAGCAAATCTCAACTTGAGATTTCTCAAAAGAAGAGCCAACAGAAACTATCTGTTGTCTAAAAGGCGCGAGATTTTACAACAGTAAAATCTCCTCTCTCTTCAATAAATCGCTACAGGAACTCAAGAATTTCTCTTTAAAAATTCTCTGCTGAAGAGCTCTCCTTAATGGCCGCCGCATCTGGAGTTTAATGATCTGAAGAAAAATCGGGGGCTAACTGCTCTCGTGCTCAGGTTCCCTTAAATAGGGAAACCCTAGCCAAAACAGCTGGGTCCAGCTGTTCTCAACAAAACACAGGCGAAAGGGGGAAATCAGAACCCGCCTGCCTTAGAGCTCAAAAATCGCCTGCAACCAACTCGCCTGCAAGGCTATGAGGTCGCCTGTCGAGAGCACCGCTTGAGCTCGCCCGTAGAAGCCCCAAAATCGCCTGCAGCCCTTCGCGATCTCAAATCCGCCTGCTCGACTTCAGAACTCGCCTGTAGCGCCTACCTCGAACTCGCCATCAGCCCGTCGAATTCCGCCTGCAAGATCCCAAGTCCAAAACTCGCCTTCGCCCGACGTTGCTCCGCTCGAGCTCGCCAGTTCAAGATCCACGACCTTGCCTTCTCCAACTCAACTTCGCCGGAGCTCGCCTCGTTCGCCGCTGACAAGGTAAGGGTCTACACCCATTACCAACAGTGTTAGCATGTCCTTGATTATTAGTTGAGTTGTTTTTCATAAGGGCTAAGATAAGTGCTATATTACTGATTAAACTCAATTCAGTTAAAAGAACTTTTCAATAACCTGCCTAGATGCCATTATATGTGTTTTAGGAAATAATATGACAAGCAACAGTGATTATGGAGGCTTCTTAAAAATATTTGAAAAGAAAAACTTTTGTTAGACTGAACCCAGAGCTTTTTTTTTTCTTCTTCTTCATCTTTGTGGGTCATCTTGGGGGTACTTGGATTTTCCTGAAATATGTTGGTCTGTTTCAGATGCCTGTATTTGTATTTGAGGAAAAGCTGGTCGACATCACTTGGTTGTTTTGTGTTTCAGGAAGTACTGAAGCTTTATACAGAACAACTTCCTGACATGAACTATGCTGCAAATACAGGAAAGGAATCTCATTTTCTTGAAAAATGCATCTCAAATGGGTAAGGTTTTCTTTGGCAAGTAGTATTCTGTTCAAAAGAATAACTTATATGCTGTTTCAATGAAGCAGGCTGTCACATTATGATTATACTTTGAGATCGCCCTAGGATTCCCTACTAATTTCTTGCACCTATGTTTTCATCATTTTTACAGGAAGTATAGGACATTGATCATGAAATCAAATTGCACTGAAGGAATGGGCAATGTAAGCTTCATCCATGTTTGATAATTTTGGCCTGGTGCTCTCTTCATTCTCTTGAGAGTTTGGTTTAGGTGCTCTTTTTTTCTGTTATCTTTTCTTGATTTTTCTGAAGTCCTGTACTTGTTATCTTACTATTTGAAAACTGATTGCCGTCCTGTGTGTTGGGTGAATGCAGCGTTGTTCTCTGTGTTCATAGGAAGGAAGGCAAGAGCAGTAGAATATACCTAGAAAATAAAAAATTAAGAAATGAAACAGCGTTGACACTCTGACCTTCGTTCTCTATCTTGGTAGGGCTTAAAGCAACAGGTCGTCTGTCATAACGTTAACCTCCACGCACCCGCTGTAATTACTAGAAAGCTAAAATTCACAAAGATTTTGAAGATAGTTAATTGCCTTCTGAGTGCATGCTCCAACTGTCAGCTTTCCACTGGATTTCTTGGCAAGGAGATGTCAACACAAAGTCGAGTGGTTAGGCAAAAAAATATAATTAATAGAAATAGGAGAAAGAAAAACATTTGCATGGTTCAGTTATTTTTGACCTACATCCATGGGTGAAGTCAGCAATTAATCCCGTTGTCAAATAGGTAGATTACAAGAAAGAGAACTCCCCAATCTCACACCCAAACACTACAAACGAAAACAACTTAGTTTTCCCAAAAATAAAAAGTGAGCTGCAATGTCACTCTGTTCTCATTTCTGAACACAATGAGGTCAATTCATGCCTTATTCATAGTGATCAAATAAATTATCCTGTTTTGATTAACTTTTCATTACCTTTCCTTAAAGGATACAAGTTTCTTTATTTCAACATAGTCAACTCCAATATTTCAGTTTTCTTTGTCGGGTGCATGCTAATTCCCAATGAATTCTTTTTCTTGGCAATCAAAACTAAACTAGTAACGATTTGTCAATCCAGTATAGAGATTTATGGATGTCATTATACCAAACTGTACAACATTTCCCGCTAGTAGATACATTTACATTTTTCATTTATTTTCATGTTATGTATCTGATGGCAGTGCTATTTTGAGCAGATTCCAAATAGAGAACTGTTAAGTTTAGTAGCAGATTTGAAACTATTGAAGTAAGCTTCAAATGATACTCCCCAACCACAAGTAAACTTTGTAGTTGAAATCCCATTTTCATAATGAATTTCAAAGAAAAACACGATGAACATAGGAAATAAAAAAACTGCAAGACGTCTGGATGACAATAGTATCAGAATAAGAAAAGAAAGAAAGGGAAAAAATGAAACAAAAAGAGAAGTGATGATGGGTTCTCCATGATTGAAAGATTCGAGAATTTTGATACACCTGTGACATTTCTTCTGTTGTCCTTGACCTGGAAAGGCATGGAGAATCTGAATCAGGTACAAAAATCCCTTCAATGCATGAGCAGCCCCTTGGAATTGCTAGTAAAACTGTTCTTCGGTCTTTTTAAAACTTGTCATGTAAAAAGAAGAAAAATATCTCCACAGCCCCTTGGAATAGTACTTTCAACTGTAAATTCATCTGTTTCTATATAAAAAACCAAAGATATATGCCAACTCAGTCATGTTCATAACTGCACAAGTGGTTATTTTGAATCCTTAAATCCATTCCAAAGGCGTCTGACACATTTCAATTGTACCAATTTGTCATGATTTTTTTATTGAGGAATCTTAATGAACCTGAATTGACAGTGGAAATATGATGCGAGATTTATCCTCCCTATCTATAATATCTCCATGTTTTTAACTTTAGCAATAAATTTCTTTTTTCATAATATTAAATTGCAATTTATTATAATCGTTCAGTTGTTTCATCACCTGCATCATACAGGTGATTGCTGCAGTGTCCTATCAAATAATTCCTGCAGATACACAATATGCTGAAGTTCCACTTGCTGCTGTTAGTTCCAATTACCAAAACAAGGTACTTAATTTGTATAGGTGTATGACATATTTTTGTCTTTTTATTCTTTTTTGCTTTATGTGCTTTTTAGAGAAGTTTAGATCTGCAACCCGAATAGAAGCAACAGCTGATTCATAGTTAATGTCATACTGCCATTTGAGTAGAACCTTAATGTCTTGATCCGTAATGGCAAGTCCCAATTCCCAAATAAGAGATGCATCTGTTTGGTTATTTGAAATTTTTTTAGCATAATTTTGTATTCACTATTATATGTCAGTGTATGAGAAACAAAGTTTTATGTCGTCAGTTAGAAACCCACTTGGAAGGTTGCTAGGAGCTCATCTTTGAAACTTGAATTCTAACACACCTCCCTGACCCCTCCCCTCAACCAAATTCCAGGGGGAGTGTGGCATAACCATTGGATCAGATGAAGCAGAACTGAGAGTTCATGCATATAGCAATATGCAGCTGCATGGAGAAGCAGGAATTCTTGATCCCAAAACTTAAATATCGTTGAAGTAGTGTTTGGCAGAATCTTGTGCGCTCTTCACTCTTAGCTATAAATGAGTGACCGAAACCAGTTCTGGAGGTATCGGATGTTTGATGTCCCTATAAGCTAAGTAGGTCATTGTCCAGGGTACAAGAATATGACTTAGAGAGATTAATTGCTTCTTCCTAGATGTTGATGGATGAATAGGACTCTGAAACTAAAGGTTGGTTGTCTTGAGGGGACCGACAATTGTCAAGTTTTTTGAATGACAGGCTGAAGAGGCAGGTTCTAGCATAGGTTTGAAACAACCATCATCAACCAACTGAGAGGAAACTTTAATAGGTATTGGAAATTAACAGAAAGGTTGAATGCTCTTAGTCAGAGGAAAAACTGGTGGGGTTTGCATGAAGGCAGATCGCAAAAGGTGATATAAAAAACTTGGTGTAGAGTTAACTTCTCAAGAGTGGATCAAAATTAAACTGTCAAGCCACTCGGATGATAAATCCTGGTCGAAACTTGTACAATCAGATTTTCTATTTGCCTCCTTTTGTTCTTGCTTACGGCACTCATGGAGAATTTCATTGTACTTAATTGATCCACGGAGTAACTCTTGAATGTGTTTCTGCAAAAGATCCACGGAGTAACTCTTGAATGTGTTTCTGCAAAAGATGGTAAGGCGTTTGAGGCATTTGCGTGTGACCTGATTACGCTTTCTCTTACACTTGAACAGACCCAACTGACCTTGTACCAAACATTTTGGCTATTAGCTGCACTACGATAAGCTGTGTAAACCTTTGATAAACCCTGAAAGAATTCACATCTTAAAACCTGTTTGGAACCCATCTGGTGAATACAATTTAGTCATCTCTTGGACTATGCATGAGCTTAGTTCGATCGGCTCTCTCTGCAGCATTTGTGAAACCCGGAGAAATAATGATGTTTGTTAGCAGCAGCTTATGCTTGCCTTTATGGAAGTGGGAACCTGCCCTGCATCCAGAGATCTTAGGGGGGATGAAAATATTCCTCCTTGCCACAGTTGACACTCAATGAAATGGAGGTAGAAGTGAGTCAGCATTGCAGTGAGACAAGCTTGTCACATAACTCAAATCTACATTACATGCAACAGTACTAAAAATTTAAAAACCTCCAGCTTAGGAAAGGTACCTAGCATATATCATCTGACAATTCCAGGCGATGATAAAAAAAATATCTGGTTTATAATCTTATGTTTCCCAGAACTCATGCAGGAAAAAAAATAAAAATTAAGCGCTTTGGACTGAATATAGGAAGAGTAAAATATACTTCTGGCAGTTTCCTTAACCAACTCAACTTTCAGCAAGGCATCGATACATAGACATTCAGTACAATTTTCTTCCCTTTTCACCACCAGTATGTTGTATTTTCCTGGATCTTAGTGACTTGTTCATTTAGCTTCCCTGCTATGATATAACTCCAGAAAATGGATTCTTTTAATGTTTTTTTTCTCCAGGGTGTTGGTCATCTCATGTACAAGGAACTGAAAGAAAGACTTCAAAGTGTGGGTATTTCGACAATACTTTGCTGGGCAGACAAGGTGTCAGAAGGTTTTTGGTTTAAACAGGTAATATGGTATAGCATGATTGGTTATTCTTGACGTAGTGCCATTATATTATTTTGGTTGAATGTGCTTCAAGAATTTGCAGTTTTCACTCTGAAATTCCATTTATAGCAACTACGGTAAGTATGCTTGCAATTGTCATATGTCAAAAAAATCCATTCAACTCGTCTATGGAAAGTTTTTCTTCTTATCCTCTTCAACCAGATTAGTAGTCACCATGATATTAGCCTTCTCAGAAAAATTGCTTGTAAGAAAAGTTAATCGTGCGGTCATATCTCCTAGTGTATTTTTTGGAATTCTGGCCCTATCAGCATTCTCCATTACCTTGATTGCTGAATCCTTCAGGCTTCAGGTTTATTTTTACAATTTTCAGAAATAGTTCGTGGAGCATAGCCAAGATTACTACCTCTCATAGGGCATATTAGAGTTATCATTTAACATGTAGAATAATATAGTTTCCATCTATTGAGGATGTGAGGACCAGTTATCTCTTGACACTGTCAATGCCATTTGTTAGTAATGCTACAAGAAAAAATAAGGCTTATGTCTTCATTGGCTTGTCAAAATTTTCCTAAATTTTAAACTTCTGATTTATAATGCTTAATGAAAATAACCCTGAGGTTTAAAGTTTTGGATTTTCCTCCCATCATGTGTGCATTGTTATTTTAATTCTTCATCCACTACATTTATTCTTGAAAGCCAGTGATGCCTCCAGTTTAGAAACTGTTGTAGTATCCTAGGCGTGTTGGACATTGACACTACTCCCTACCACTCATGTGTAAGATTATATTTTTATAAATTTTTGTGAACTATAGCATGATTTTATTTATGGTTTTCAGACTAAATATATTTGCAATGTTCATATTCGTATGCAAATTTGCTATAGCATATTGGAATTATGCTAGTATGTCACCTAACTTAACACTGAACCTGCATTTGATTGTCTTTATTGCTGATGCTATTTCTTACATATGTTTAGACTTTGACAATATATTCACGTCATCAAGGTGCAGATTTTTCAATCTTCAGAGTTCTCTGTGCTGGATGTCTCTGTCTTGTTGTAGCCATGTCTGTGTTATTGTAATTCCTTCTAGTTCTTTAGCATAAAATAAGCTTCAGAAAATAGCTTGCTTTATTATCACGTAATCTTTATTAACTATGGACGTTGCATTTCATGCAGGGTTTCAATTCAGTTGGAGAAATTAACAGAAAGGGCAAACCTTGCAAACTACCTGTAAAAGCTAATATTAGAAGAGCACTATGCTTTCCCGGTGGTTCCACTCTCATGATTGCATATCTTAATAGGAATAATATGGGTTCAGCTAATTTTTCAGAACATGCTAAATTCTCCTTCCCTGCCAAATCTCATGCCAAGTCATATAACTGTCTTCCTAGTAAAACTCCTATACACATGAAAAGTACAGAAGGCGAGTCAGCAGTTTCTTTAAGGAAAGATGGATCTTATCCAGTCTTGCATCAAGCCGAATCAAATAAGGCCGAACATTTGATAAAGGATTGTTTTTCAACAGATCCCCAAAAAGTCAATGGTAAGTAAACTGTTTATTCATAATGTGCCAATTACCTGGTGCTTTCTGTTTGTTAACATTGAGATGGAAAAAGAATACCAAAAATGGTTTTTGATAATAAAATAATATGTAATATTCTAAATCATGCAATTTCATGTTTACTACTAAAATATATCTTTTGCTAGAAAATGAGATTCATCTTCTGAGTAGAATTCATGAACATAGGTACATATTGTGTTTGCTGAATTCCAACTACCTGTACTCTTATCTTGGATGCTTCATGCTTATATAGTTCTTCATACCTGAAATCTGTAATAATACTTGATAGGCTGTGTTAGAGTGTTGATCACCGACAGTTATCAATCAAAAGGTTTTCGGATTTTGCAAGTTAGTAACATTCAGAAGAACCATGTATCATCGTTGGGGTAATCACGATGGTAGTGAGTTGTATAGTGCAATAAAACAGTTCACATTCATATAAATGTTAGATCTCTCAAATATGTGTTGTTAATACATGACATTAATTCAAAATTTTTATGAACAGAATGGAGGAAATAAAAATGAGGAATAATTCAAGAATAGTTCTAGCATTCAGAATATTTTTTTTAAGAAAATCATGTTGTAATTTGCTCTTTCTGATTCTGATTTACCTTTTCTCCTCCCTTTTATGGTCATTGTGGATCTAGAGAATCTAATACCTTGCCTTTTATTATTATCTAGCCTCCTTCCCAGTCTCTCCTCCAAGCAAAATCCTCCCATGCCGTGGAAGCTCAGTTCTTTGTACAAATGAAAACTGCAACAGAACCGGAGTCAATCCTGAAACGACAGATAACAGATGCAACGCCAATGAAAAGAATAGTTCCTGTAGTCAAAGAGGGAAGAGGTGCATGTGGGAAGCTTCACTATCATCATTAAAATCAAAGAGAATCAGAGGTAGTCGTAGTACTGAAGATCGCCAAGATAATCAGGATTGTGATTCTGATCGTGTTAAAGAAACTGACACAGCCTGCAAAGGTTGCTCTAAGGAAATTTCCAGATATCGACCACCAGAAGAAATTATTCCTAGCAACCCTGCTGATATTAATCTCTCAGACACAGCCTTCGTTCAAAAAGGAAATTGCCCTAGAATCATGTTCATGAATATTGCTGATGATGCTAAGAAAACATGTCTTACCAAGGTAATATACCATGTGTTTCTTTCCTGTATACATATCTATTTATATTCAAGTTTCTTGTTAATTAATGATTCTACATTTGAATATTAATGATTTTAATTCCTAGAGGATAATATTTAAAATCTTTGAAACCAGAGAATGATTGTACATATTCATGCATGCATATTCTGTAACAAAGTCTTCTATGACTTCTTTGAGTTGTTATTTAATGATTCTACATTTGAAGTTAAGTGAACTAAGTAAATGAAACAGAATAGTCTTAGCAGGACATAATAAAAGGTTGTAGGAAAACATCCTATAGTTCATCTCAGATAATGCATACAAACATAATTTAGTTATCTTCTATCTAGCGCCTTAGTTTACGATGTAAAGTTGGCATTAAATGGCAACATATCATCTTAATAACAGCATACAATTATACTTACAGCAAGAGCTTGACAGCCACAATCTGAAAATAGGTACCATGACAACAGGTCATAAAACCGTGTGCACAAATGAAAGATTTACCTTACATGTAATATGACATGCTTTCTGATGATAGTCAAACAATGAAGTATTTGTACTCAATTGCTTCTTATAAATGAAGAGAAGCCACTTAGGAAACACTAAAAAATGGTTAATCATGAAGAAACACATAGTGAAGCTCTTGTGGAAAAGTACTCTCATTCAAATATGTGCAGATGTACAAAGATATATCTTGGAAACTTGTCCTAAGTTGAAATGCTAAGAACTTTGTATCTTCTCATGTTGTGGATATGTTTGTATGTGCGTGCTTGTGGTGTGGTGTTTGTGCTTGTGCATGTCTGTGTTCTCGTGGTGTATTTCTGTGTATGTATATTCATTTGCACTGTGGTCATGTTTATGTATTATGCGTATGTCTGCGGGCTTGTATGTGTGTTTGTGGATGCGTCTGGTGTGCGTGCGTGCGTGCATGTGCATTCCTGTAGTCTCACATGCGTGTTTGTGTTGTGTATATATGTGTGCATGTACATGCTTATGTTTGTATGTATTAACGCATAGGCTCGTGTACTTGAATATGTGCCTGTGCATCTATGTGTCCTTGTATATATGTTGTATCTACTCCTCTATACTTATAGGAGGTCCCAAAGATTAACTATTCATGCTACAGTAAATGCTGTGGCTTTTAAAGCACTGTAGTATTTAGAAATGTTGTTGCATTTAAAAAGAATTACTGTAGCAGAAATAAAAAAAGGGACCATGCTTTGCACGGGGTGCACACTAGTATGTATGAATGTGTGCACATGTATACTCATGTCTTTTTGTATGTGCTTGTGTGTGTACATGTGTTTTAGATGTGTTTGTGTGCGCACGTGCATGGGTGATTTGATGGGTGTGTTTGTAGGTGGGTACATGTGCATTCATGTGTGTGTGTGTAGCTAGCCAATTGATGCATGAGCAGAAAGACCTAAAATTTTTTGAATGTTGATTTTAAGTCTCTCCAGATAATGTAGATTATTTTCAATGGTTGACCTTTAAAATGGATGTCATATGTTGAATCCCACAGGAAGGATTTTGCTCCATATTCTTCTGAAAGTATACAAGTTTACATACATATGCATAGACAAAAGGGGGGAAAACACACACAGTCATGCAAGCGATCACCTAAGCACATACAGGTCTCCGTGTGTGCATGATCATAAAGATAACCACCTACTGAAAGTAGCAATTATACTGAAGATGGAAAAAAATAGTTTTACTGTTCTTTGTTGCTAACCTGATTGGTAGAAGAAAACAAAACGAGGAAAGGTAATTGATTGGGAGCTAAAAATCAGATGTTGAGGGTCTGCTTGTTGGTCAGATCAATACAGAGAAGAAAGGAGAGGGTATAGAGGAAAGGATGTAGAAACTGGAAGATGAGAGCTAAGTAACTAACAAGGAAATAAATCAGGAATTTTCATATCCCAGACCTTGTTATTGGCTTAATTTTATTCTAAACCCCGTCGTTGAAAGACTACATTTTGCGCTACAATCATGAATATTCAAACCATCATTGTTTTTTTATAAGTGCAACAAGTAGGTCTGGTCTTGCTCTTGGTTACCTGGTTGTGTTCCTTCTGCAGAACTTGAGTTCAAGTAACTAATTGAGCAAATTATACAAGTTCTTTTAAAAGGTTAAAAAAAGTGAGCATGAAAGAAAACATGTTACAATAGCTCTTGAAGTTTACTCATCTCAGTAAGGGAATTAAACTTAAAACCAACTACATGAGTTGCTTTCATCTCATTAAGCAACTTCTATAACTAATCACATTAGTGAATTCATATTAGCATTATTTTCCCAAGCTTTCCTAAGTAAATTTTAGGCTTTTTCACGCTTCAAATGCCCAGGTGTGTTTTCCTAACCCTTTTCTAATTTATTGCGTTATTAACCATGCAGATAGTGGAGGAGCTCGGAGGTTTTGTTACAAGTCATGGAAGTTCTTGTACACATGTAATCACAGGGAAAGCAAGAAGAACTTTGAACTTCTGCGTAGCTCTATCCTCTGGGTTAGTATTATTTTCTACTGTTCAAATTATGGAACAAATTTTTGTTACCCGTGTTCTTTTGTTTCTTGAATCCAAGAGTAGGCTACAGCCACCAAATTATAATGAACACACAAGTACAAGGGAAAAAGAAGAAAATGGCAGATAGTGCAGATACCTTTCCTTTTTTACGTTTCTGATCTCTGTCTAACTGAGCTTTTGTAACTAGTAAGCATGTGTTACTGGATATTATAATCTAATGTTGTGCCATGTTTGCAAATACTTTTGAAGGTTTCTGTTTTCCTGTTTAGTTGGTAGTTTTGTCTTGTCAGACACTTAGCTTATGTCTATTAGTGATTGTATTCTTCATATTCTCTGTTCACTCTGCTGCTTACATCCCTTACTACTAAGAAAATTTTCAAATCATGTTTCTTTTTATCTTATTTATTTATTTATTTTTTGGGCATGATAGGGCTTGGATTGTCTCACCCAACTGGCTGAAAGCAAGCTACAAGGAACGCAAGTTTTTAGGTGAGCGGATAATTTAATATTAGTCACCTAGTCACTAGTGATCTATAAATATGTTCGGACTTCAGACCAACAAGAAAAAAATGTTTTAGCTGTTTTCTTTCTTCTTTTTACTCATCTTCCCTAGCAATTTCTTTATAACCACTGAACAGGTGTACCTACTTTTAACAAAGATTTGATTAATTTTCTTTGATTGTTCTTTCATTTTTTCTGAAGGTGAAACACCATTCATTCTAGAAGATGAAGATTATTTGCTGAAGTATAAGTTTGAACTAAAAGATGCAGTAAATAGAGCGAAACTGAAACCTCACTCATTGTTCAGAGGGTATAATATATGCCTTGCTAAGCATATCCAGCCATCTGTGGATGTTATTTTATCAATCATCAAAGCAACTGGAGGCAAGGTAAACCTTATTATCTCTGTAGCATCATGTTGGCTGGTTCCATCTATTTATTTTATTTGATTGTGCATAGACTTCACTGCTGATGATACTTTCAGTGTTGCATTTCGGGCAATTTTTTCATTTGTTTAATTTATAACTAAATACAAGTTAATATCAACAAGAGAAAATCAAAATTGTTGACGATTAGATAGTTGATGATACTCCTATTTGGTCTGCTGCTGTTTTTAGAAGCTCTAGCTTTCAGTCTTTATCTGAGACACGAGGGATAACATTTGTTTCTATGGTCTATAACTTTCTTTGTAGGCTGGCCTCTATTGCAATGTATGAGTGGATTTTTCTAGCTAATCATAAATGGGAAATTGTTTACATGTGTCAGTGGAACTAAATAAAGATGCTAAGTATTTTAAGATCTAGCACGGCAGTGAAAATTCTTAAGCAGCAAGGAAACATCATATGAAAGGGCTATAATATGTTTATCTGGGAAATTTGAAATTTACACTAAAATAGAAGCATATTCTCCTTCAGATAAACACTGGAACAAGTACTACCTGCATTGGCTTCTGCAGTTAATGTTTACAATATAGAGCTCTGCAAAAGTTATCAGGTTTAAAGTCCTGTTATCTAGGCATCCTGGTATTCGGCTGAATTTTCAGTGCATCAAGCGATACACATAATCACACCACTTCACCATTACCTGGACTTGATATAATTTGGTTCACCAACACAGTAAAGAAAGAAATGATAAATTAAACTAAAGCCCCAAGAAATTTTATAGTTTTGTAGTAAATCCCCAATAACTTTCAAAATCACACTAAACCCCTAATATCTTTTGAGTAAATTACACTAAAACCCCAATAACTTTCGAAATGTCTTTTTAAATGTCTTTTTATGTTGTTTTTTGTTCTAATTTATTGGGGTTATCTGCAAAATGCAAAAACTTATTGAGGGTTTTATGCGAAACGTAAAAGTTATTTGTAGTATTGTGTGACTCTGAAAATTATTGGGGGTTTACTGTAAAACACTGAAATTTCTTAGGGGTTTAGTTTAGTTTATCCCAAAACCAGAGCCACTAACACTTCTACTTAAGCAAAGGAAACCTGACCTAAAGTGTGAATTTACTTAGTTGCAAAGCTTTATGCGATTTGATGAACCATAGCATTTTATTATTGAAGTTGTCCAGGGCTTTCCATTTCAAAACGGTACTCAGAATTGCCAATAGGAATTTGTTTTCTATGCCTAGGGGATAGATGTATGATATGAGCGCATTCAAGGTCTCGTGTCTAACAGAATAATTGCTAAAAATGGGATTGAAGAAACTTATATATATATATATGAGAGATTAATGGGTGTCCTATGTTGATACGAGTCGTCGTGCGAGCACCTTTGATCGCGGAATTATCAAAGGTGGGTTGAGAAGAGGATGACAGAAACATAAGAATAATTCAGTATGTGGCGAAGAAAAATACCCTCTCTAGATTATGAGTATGAAAAGATTACAATCCCTCTCTCATAATCTCACTAGAATCGAGAACAAACTCTCAATTCTCTCTAAACCCTAATCTCTCTTGATTAGAATCTTTCTTTGATTACATCTGATTGATTAGAAACCCTAAAACAATCTCTTATATATGTGTAACAACGTGGATGACAAAGTGGTAAATAACCAAGCTAAAACCCCACAGGAATTCGTGCAAACAAAAACTCAAACAAACCAGGAATCCTTCGATGAGTCGACTCATGTGCACATATGAGTCGACTCATGACACATGGGTCGACTCATACAGTGATGAGTCGACTGGTCAAAGACTTTTGACAAAACGGTTGAGTTTCATGAGTGGACTTATGACAGGCATGAGTCGACTCAACCTAATGAGTCGACTCATGACTGTTATGAGTCGACTCACGGGCTGCAAACTGGATTCTTCGATTCACCGTCTCGTTTCACGCTTCAACCTATGTTCTACTGTGTTGTTTTACACCTCTATTCTCAAGTTACCATGGGAATCATCTATCCTCAAGCTCTCATGAGGATTGCTAAGTTCCGAAGAGAAGATACACTCGTATCATGGGTCCCCCTTTAGGAACTTGAAGTCTCATTCAAGTTAGAACTTCAGCTGAGGAAACTCGCGAGCTCCTCCATCCTTTCTGTACCACCTGGCTTCGCGAGCTCCTCCATCCTTTCTGTACCACCTGGCTTTGTTAGGAATCTGATATCGACGTACAACTGGAAACGATTCCTTCGTTCCTCGCCTCATCGTAGTTGTCTTCCGTTCCAACATGCAACTCCTTTTCGATGGCTCGTCATGAAGTCTAATACACAGTGAGACGAACTTCTTGCTTGCATTCATTAGCCTCTTCGCTCGCGTCATCATCGCCAAGTTTGTCTACCTCGGAAGAGACGCCGAACGAAATATGAACTTTTCACCATCCTTGGTGAATGTGTACTTCTGAGCCCGCCTTCCGTAGATCGCGTATCTATCCCATAAGTACGGATTGTCCAGTATAACCTGACAAACATCCAATAGAACGACGTCGCACGTGACCTCGTCAATATACGACTCGTGGAGTGCAAATCTGACAGTGCATTGATCAACTACACTTAGTCCTATCTTCTTCTGAATCCACCCCAATGGATAGGGTTTCGGATGCTTGACTGTTTTCAGACCTAGTTTCTGAACTAAGGTCTCGGATATCAAATTCTTTTCGCTGCCTGGATCAATAATGGCATCAACCAAACTGGTCTTCACTTGCAACTTCAGCACAAAGAGCTGCTCTCGGGGGTCTTCGTCCTCTTTCATGGCCTGTTTTCCTGCCATAAGATTGAGACTACTGTTGGGCTCTGTCATCCCAGGAACTTCCTTCGGACCTTGTGCTATCACGTATGTATTTTTCTCCTCTTTCTTTTTTAACACATTTGGCTTCAGATGAGGATACTTCTCCCAGCATCCATCAGCGGTATGTCTTGTCTTCTCATAGTGACTACAAATCAGTTTTGCTCTCCCTGGATCACCCTTCTTCTCCTCCTTATGTTTGGAACCATTAGACTCACATCCCATCTGTTTTGCATCTCTTTTTGCCTCGTTGCTCTTCTTTTGCTTGCCCTCGATGGTAATGGCCTTCACACTCGCTTCTGTCATGAACTCGACTGTGAACAACTTCATCTTCTTTCGGATATATTCATTCAGACCCACCATATACTTCATAAAGATAGAATATTCCTCCGTCGCGATATTGAGAACCATCGCCTGCTGCTGGAACTACGTCGTATATTCTTGAACGGTCTGATTGAATCTTTGGCGTAAGTCGTACCACTTGTACTAATGCTCCTCAAGGAATCCTACTGGATAAAACTGCTTCATTAGTAGCTCCTTGAACTTGTTCCACGACACCGCCTTCTTCTCCTGTTTACAGTAGGATTTCCACCATGTTAAGACATGCCTCAAAAGCTTCAGAGTCGCGAACACAATCTTCTCTTTGGACGAGCATCCGTAGAGAGTGAAATACATCTCCATACGCTCGATCCAATCATCGAGCTTCTCCACATTGACACTCATCATAAACAAGAATTTCCACCTTGAAGTCAATTTTCAGATTCTGGTAATAATTCTTACCCCCTTGATGTGTAACAGCCTTGACAATCTCGGCCTCCCCATCAGAATTAGATATCTCGCCTTCTCCATCGGACTCTTCGAGTTTCTTCTTGCCTTTCGAAGAAGATTCCTCCTTTTTGTCCTTTCCATTGATGAGACCTACGAGCTGATTGAGTGTAGAACCGATCGTCTCGATCTGCTTCTCCATTGCATCAAGTCTTGCTGAATTATCCCCTTCATCTTCTCCTTCCTTAATTTCTGGACTCCTTCCAATAAAATAAGGATCTCGTCTAGATTCTTGTATTGCGATCGAGTCAGGACCATACACAGGATGCGTCCTTCACAGGATCTGATCGTTCTGATACCAACTTGCTACGAGTCGCCGTGCGAGCACCTTGATTGCGGAATTATTAAAGGTGGGTTAAGAAGAGGATGACAGAAACAAAAGAATAATTTAGTATGTGACGAAGGAAAATACTCTCTCTAGATTATGAGTATGAAAAGATTACAATCCCTCTCACAATCTCACTAGAATCGAGAACAAACTCTTAATTCTCTCTAAACCCTAATCTTTCTTGATTAGAATCTCTTTTTGATTACATCTGATTAATTAGAAACCCTAAAACAATCCCTTATATAGGTGTAACAACATGGATGACAAAGTGGTAAATAACCAAGCCAAAACCCCACAAGAATTCATGCAAACAGAAACTCAAACGAATCAGGAATTCTTCGATGAGTCGACTCATGTGCACATATGAGTCGACTCATGACACATGGGTCGACTCATACAGTGACGAGTCGACTGGTAAGAGACTTTTGACAAAACGGCTGAGTTTCATGAGTCGACTTATGACAGACATGAGTCGACTCAACCTGATGAGTCGACTCACGGGCTGAAAACTGGATGCTTCGATTCTTCGATTCGCCGTCTCGTTTCATGCTTCATCCTGCGTTTCACTGTGTTATTTTACACCTCTATTTTCAAGTTATCATGAGAATCATCTATCCTCAAGTTCGCATGAAGATTGTTAAGTTCCGAAGAGAAGATACACTCGTATTATATGTCAAGGAGGAAATCCCCTCCTATGACAAGGATACCCATTATTCTCTCTCTCTCTCTCTCTCTATATAAGATGTTTTATTATTATTTCTTTAGTAATACAATCCTCAATAACTCTTTCTAACATTAACACTCTCTACTACAAACTACTACACTATTACTCTTTTTCAGCGGACTACAATTTATATTTCTCTCTCCTTCTCTTATTTACTTCTCTTTATTTTGCTTGCTATTGGGATCCACAAGCTCCCTCTCTCTGTTTGATTTTTCTTTCACGGGGTTGAGATGATTTTTTTTTTCCTTCGCTATCTTCCCTTTTACAGAGGATAAATCATGGTAGGTGTATACTATCTAGAGTAGGCGAGAGGTTGGTACGAATTATTGCACCTACATTGATTTTACATATAAGTCTGTGCTGACCCATTTAACACCCAGGAAACCAAATCTAAAGTACGCTAATGTTGTCGTGATAGAAAACATGAAGGAGTCGTTTACTTTCAAGGAAGCATATGGGAATGATAAATGGAGACAATCGTTGAAAGAGGAAATCCAAGCACTGAAAAAGAATTTAGGATTCTTGAACTCATAGATAAAGAAGTCAGTGCTGAAAGGGAGCGTTAAATGGGTCAGCACCGACCCATGCGTAAATGTAGAGTAGTTGCAATAGTTTGTACCAATCTCTCATCTACTCTAAATAGTATACACCTATCATGATCGATCCTCTATAAAGGGGGAGACAGTGAATGGAAAGAATCATCCTAAGCTAGTGAAAGAAAAATCTAGAGAGGGAGCTTGTGGATCCCAAAAGCAAGCAAAATAAAGAGAAGTAAATAAGAGAGGGAGAGAGGAAAATAAATAGTAGTGTGTTGAAAAAGAGTATAGTAGCATAGTAGTTCATAGTAGGACATATTTTTAAAATAGTCTCGTTTAGAAACTTATTTGTAAAAAATGACCTTTTTTAAAAATAATTGCTAAATTCGACTCAGTTTCAGCCAGTTGGCTGAAACTGGATCAAATTTAGCTTTAAAAACTTAGAAAACTTCACGGGGGGTTTAAACTTCACGGGACTTCAAGTCCCATGAAGTTTTCTAAGTTTTTTTGTCAAATTCGACCTAGTTTCAGCCAGCCAGTTGGGCTGAAACTGGGTCGAATTTAGCAATTATTTTCAAAATTGATCGTTTTTTGCAAATATGTTTCTAAAGAGGTCTAAAATGAAAATTTGTCCTTTATAGTAGAGAGAGTGTTTGTATTAGGGATAATATTGAATGCTGTACTACTAAAAAATAATAATAAAATATTTTTTAGTGTCCACCACCCTTCTCAAATAAAAATATATATATATTGGTTGTTTTGATTTATATGCAAGAGGTAATAAATTGAATTTTAGAGGAGAGAAGGAAGAATTAAAGAATAAATGAAATCACAAGGCAAGAAATATGAATTAATAAAATCAAGAAATAAAACCAAAAATGAAAAGAAAATTTAAGAAAGTTAAGATGAAGGATTCAAAAGAGGTAAGAAATCTAGAATATAATCCACTAACCAATTTCAATTACAAAATATAAACTATTCTCTTTTTATCATATTTCAACTTAGATTTATTAAGCATAGATTATCAAACCATTTAAGGAAAGTGTAACCTATCAAATTATCATCTAAGCTAAAATTACTATTCATGATAAGAACAACAACATGATAATAATCCTAGAATTCATAAGCATAACCTATCAAACCATTTAAGATAAGCATAGATTATCAAATTCTTCTTCTACCGATTAGTTCTCTAGTTGATTATCCTAACATGAACATTTTAAGTACAAGAGAATAATTCATACAATATAAAGGAAATTAGACTAGTCTCATATAATTCTAAACTTCCTACAAGAATTAAATTCACATCTTTAAGAAATAAAAACAAGAAAATGAACTAATTACAAAATTAAAAAGAAAAGAAAAATCTAAACTATGAACAAGAAATAAATCTAATTACAAAGAAAATAAAAATCTAAACTACAAAATAAATTGCAGAAATTAAATGCAAGAAAAATAAATCTACTCTACAAATTAAAGTGCAAAAAGAAATAAAAAAGGCAAGAAAATAAATCTACACTACAAGCATGAATTTAAATCTAACTAATAAGCAATAATAAAGAAATTGCTAAAAAGAAATAAAAGAGAAAATATATGCAAACCTTCAAATTGCTCTTCATCTCCATCCTCATCATTCAACAAGAGGAGAAAGAACAAATTTAAAGAGGAAAAAAATTATTTTTATTAATTGCAACTAAAGTTACAATTTTTGGAAGGCCTTCTCAATTAAGAGTAGCCCTCCTCTCCAAAAAGAGTTTACAAAATTTTCACACCTCTAACCCCTCACTCTCTACCCCTATTTATAGTAATCTTCAATGAATATGAGCCATTAGATTTGTCTTGAGCCCCAAGCAACAATCTCCACCTTTGATTTATTTGATTTCCAAAAGAAATTCAAAATCCAATTTGTAGCAATCAATTTTCGGTCCATTTGAATTTCGGCCCAATTGAGAAAATCAAAGCTGCAGCATCAAGGTCCATTGAAATTTCAGCATAATCCGATTTTCACCACAATTCCAAGTTCGGTCTTCATCTCATTTGAAAAAGCCAAGTCCACCTTTAATTTGTTTGCACACCAAGCCAAGTCCAATGTCAGCACTACATCCGGCCCATTGGAAAACAAATCAAAGATGGAGATTAGTGAAGAAATTCGCAGTCGGCCCACATCATGATTTTCTAAATTTCAAAAGCCTAGTCTGCAGCATATCTTCTTTGAAGGCCGGCCCAAGTTGTATTTCCATTTGATTTTCAGAAATCTGCAGCGAATCCGGCCCACATGGAAATAAATCAAAATTCAATCTTCAG